ATACCTAGAAAGAACTTTAACTCCCCTAGATCTTTCATCTTGAACGCTACTACAGCTTGCTCCTAGTGTCATTTATCAGATATGGATTATTTTTAGTGACTAATAAGTCATCCACATATACAAGGACTATCACCACATCACCTGCAACCTTCTTAGTAAATAGAGAATAATCATAATGACTTTGTTCAAAGCCCATTAAATCCAGAGCTTCCGTCAGTTTTAAATTCCACTGCCTAGGAGCCTGTTTAAAGACCATATAAAGATTGGTTTAGTTTGCAGACTTTTGGTTCTCCCCCCTGTCTAGCAAACCCATTACAAATTACCATGTAGAGTTCCTCTAGGAGATCACCATTGAGGAATGCATTATGCAAATCCATCTGATAAATGAACCAATGCTCTGAGGCTGCAAAAGCAATGATGGACCTAACTGCCACCATCTTAGCCACAGAAGAAAAAGGTTTCACTGTAGTCTAAGCCTTTCTTCTGACTATAATCTTTGGCCCCTAGCCTGGTCTTGAACCTTTTATCTTTCCTGAAGCTTTATGTTTGATCTTAAAAAATTCACGTGTAGCTAATAGGCTTCTTCCCAAGAGGCAGATCCATAATGTTGCATACGTGCTTGTCTTCTAAGGCTGCTATCTCAAGTTTTATGCGATCCACCCATTTATGATCTTTTACTACCTCCAAGAATGATTAAGGCTCAGTGCATGCCAAGTAGGCTGATAGGACCTGATAGTACAATGGAGAAATATGTGAATGTCACATGAGATGAGATAGGATAAGTACATTTGGACCCTTTAGATTGGACTACATAGTCCTGTTGCAATATAGGAAGTCTGCTAGTTCTGGAGGACTTTCTGAGTGCTGGTGTGCTCAAAGTGTCAATTTGTGATGCTTCACTTACAGGAAGAGTTTCAATTATGTCTAGATGATAAGACCGATCAGGTACAATGTTCTCTTCTAAAACGGATGTAGAAGGTTGTGAGTAGTTGTGAACATCTGTGGTAGAAGGAATTGTGTTGCCAGGATCAGAAGCAACAAACTCCGGCACAGGAAATAAAGGATTACTGACTTGTTTTATGTGCTTAAAAGGGTGAATGTCCTCCCGGAACGTAATTTTTATATTGGCTAGAAATATTTTTGAGTAGAGATGATATAAAATATAACCCTTCTGAGTAGAGGAGTATCCCATAAGAACTACCAGTATAGCTCTAGGAGAGAACTTGTCATGTACTTTGGGACTGGATGCATAGCACAAGCACCCAAAAACTCTCAGGTTCTGTAGTGAAGGAGAATGCAAATAAAATATTTTAAAGGGGGTATTGTACCCTATCACTTTAGAAGGAAGTCTATTGATGAGATATACAACTATAATGATACACTCACCCAGAACCTTAGATGCATAGCACAAACACCCAAAAACTCTCAGGTTTCGTACCGAAGGAGAGTGCAAATAAAATATTTTAAAGGGGGTATTGCACCCTACCACCTTAGAAGGAAGTCTATTGATGAGATATACAATTATAATGACACACTCACCCCAGAACCTTAGTGGGATTGAGGGTTGAAATCTGAGAGACTTGGCCATTTCTAGAAATGTTCTATGCTTTCTTTCCACCACTCCATTATGTTGTGGAGTGTGCACACACGAACTCTGATGTATGTTGCCAAAAGTGGCTAGAAAAGACACAAACTCATTGCTGAAGAACTCACTACTATTATAAGTTCTCAAACACTTTACACCAGTAGAAAACATATTTGTTTTTCTTTGAGTAAGAAGTTTCTCAACATTACTATTGCTTCAGACTTAAAATTAATGAGGAATACCCAAGTATATTTAGTGTAATCATCTACTAATGTGATAAAAAATCTCTTCCCATCATAGGTTGGCACCCTGTAGGATCCCTAGATATCATAATGTACAAATTCAAACACAGACTTAGTAGTTGAATTACTCAATGAAAAAGACAAGTTGGATTGCTTTGCCAAAGGACACATAGTACAACGTTCATGAGTACATGTCTTCAAATCACTAATTATATTGATCTCTTTATTATATCTACCAGGACAAGGCCTAATTCTCCTTGTAAAATAAACAGTCCATGATCCTCTCTATCAATCCTCTTCACCTGACTACTGTAGAGATCTTGGAAAATACAGAAGTCATGGAAGAATGCAACAAAACTCTGAAACTCCTTGCTGAGTTGAGACTCTGATAATAAATTGTACTTGAAAATTGAGTATGTACATCACATTAGATATAATGTGATCTTTAAGATCAGTAGAATTCTCTTTGTGAGAAACAACACCACCTTTCTATTTGGTAAATGAACTGCATTTTTTTTATATTTTGAACTGAACTGTGTGATTTAAGCATGTCAAGTCTAGAGGTCATATGATTTGAGGAACTGGTGTCTATGATCCAGTTCCTAATGACAAAATTGATCATAAAGGCAACCAGATTACCTATTGCAGCCAGCCTGCTAGATGATCTTGGAGCCTCTTCATTTCCCTTAGATAGTAGCTGAAGTATTTGCTGATACTGTTCCTTAGTGAAGAAAGCAAGAGTTGAGGTTGACTGAGGAGGAGGTCCAAAATTAGGAAGCTGTTGTTGTGTATACACAGCTTGCTGATGTGGATAAACACTTGGATATCCTTCCTTGTTCTATTGATATGAGACATTAGCTTGAGTGATTCTACAATGAGGGTTCTGGTTAACAGTTTTTTCTGCAGTAAAAATCTACACTAGTGATACCATTTGCATATAGACCAAGAGTAGGTGCAAGTCATTTTTTAGTCTTGAAATCAGTTGGATACCCTATGAGTTTGTAACAATTCTCCTTGGTGTATCCCTTGAAATGACAGTATTCACATTGAACATGTAGTTACCACCTGGACCTCAATTACCCTTATTGTTGTACAAGTTGTACTTTCTATTCATTCAGTAACTTTCATAGATTGCTGAATGTTTGCAAGACTCCTCTTACTTTCTTGATCAATAAGTAGGGATTATACTTTGTTGATGCTAGACTCTGGAGACATTATCATAATCTGACTCTTTGATTAAGCATAGTTTTTATTCAATCCTACCAGAAACTACAAAGTGTATGAGCTTCAAAATGTTGAGCATGTTTCTTAGATTCAGAACAAGGAAAACCAAGACATGGCATGAGTACATCAAATTCATCCCATATGTCTTTCAATTTTAAGAAGTAATCAGCTATTATCATGGTTCCTTGAGTCAGAGTATGAATTTCTCTATGAAGGTACAAGACTCTAGAACCATTGACTTTATAAAACCTTTCCTTAATATCCTCTCATACCTTATGAGCATCAGAAGCATACAGAACACTACTCAATATACCTGACCTAACATAGTTCATGATATATGATAGGACAACAACATTAACTTTCTTCCACTGATCATGCAATTCAGGTTCAAATATGCTTTTAGAAAATCGACCATCAACAAAATCTAATTTATTCTTACCTAAAAGGATAACTCATAGCACGACTCCATAGAGCATAATTGCCAGATCTAATAAGTTGAAGAGAGATTAGTGTACTACCTGGAGTGTCTGTTGGCTGTAAGAACAAAGGATGATTGTAATTGATAGTTGGAAAGCTTGTTGTACCAGTGGCCAAATTGCCATTTTCTATGGTCGGGGAAATAGGTAGACCATTCGTAGAACTCCATTCATCTACAACCACCATATTTCTTTTGCAGCAAAATAATTGCAGAGAAATTGTAGTGAACAATTTTGAAAAATTTCATCCAATTCACAAATCCAAGATGTTTCTTGCTCAAATAGCTCTAAGACAACCAAAGAGTGTTGAACTGATATTTCTAAGAAGACTAAGACGAAACTAGAGCTGCGATCTAGATCTAAGCCGGTGGCTCTGATACCATGTTCGCTGTCATGACTACCAGCAATGAACGGGAGATGAATTCAGAGGAAGAGAGAATCTCAGAGAAGAGAAGAATAACTCAAAAATGAGAAAATGAAATCTGTTATTGATTCAATGAAGTGTACACTGTTTATATACGGTAAATAACTAACTTCTAACCATCAAACTACTTGAGTTTAACTAACTAACTATACACTCTAAAGTTAACTCTATTAAATAATTATGATTAATAATCAGCTTATAACTACTATAACCAACAAGATCAAACATTAAAGTGGATTGTTTTATTTTATAAAATATAATTTTGGTTGTATATTTTATTTTGACCCCAAATTGTGGATATAATATATTTTTTTGATTTTAGTGATTTTGAGGTATAGCTTATACAAGTAATATTTTCAAGTATACTAGGCTCAATTATTTTTAATGAATGGTTTGACCATAACTATTACAATATATTATTAATAAGATCATCAAATAGTGCCTAAAGAAGATTTAAATTATAGCATTCTACCTAAAAAGAATAAAAATATAAATATCAGTAAAATTTCAAGTTTTAAAATTTTAGTTATATCGAGTGGAATATATTCCTTTTTCAATATTATAGAATAGAACTCATATTTAGTGGAGGTGAAGGAAGAAATAACAGAAAGCGGCGTTATAAGCAAAGCCCAAGAACACAAAAACATAAACTAGTTGTGTCCTTTGAACTGTGGGATTGGGAAAAATCCGTGTGCTCCTTTGTTCAAACCGCACTATATATATATTTATAAACAATTTGTACTTCCTCTGTACCCTTGTCTCGTTTAAGGTTGTTCTTTTTTTCTCTCTGCGCTTTCTTCAAAAATCAAAAGGTATTATCAGGATCTCCAACTCTTTTCCTTTTCTTCAAAATCAAAATTGAATCTTTTTATTTGCATGTACTAATTTTGGCCTCCTTTTGCTGTTGGGTTCATCACTCTGTTCTTATTCTAAAACATTGAACTTTTACTTATGTTCTAGTTCTTACCCTTTGCGTTATTTTTCTGTGGGGTTGGTGTCTTTCTTTGTTTAATTAACTGATACTGAATTTTAGGGGAATTTCTTCAAAGAAAAAGTTTTGTTTTCTCTACTGTTTCTTTGTTTTATTATATTGATGGCATTAGACTGAATATATTTATTTATCTGTTTAGTTTTTGCATCTCTTTTTCACATAATTTACGACTTTAGAACTGTATTGGTTGATAGCTACATTGTCTTTATTCTGAATTTGGAGCAAAATTGAATCTGGATTCCTATAAAATTTGAAGAGTTTTGCTCTAATAAGCGTGTAGATGTTGAAATATGTTGTAGGAGCCTCCCAATCATATTCAGAAAGGTGTATACAAAATCATGAACTTGTTCATGTTAAAGTAAATATACTACTGTTCGAATCGTCTAAGCATATATTACTAGTAGAGTAGTATTGATCTCTCAAATTACTTGTAATTCAGTTATCACAAATAAAAAGTGTAACTTATTACTTGAATTGAAAGTGGTGTTTGTTTACTTAAACAGTGTGCTCCATCTCATTCTTTCTTACTTATCAAGGAAAAAAAAATGTTTTTCATCTCTCGGCTTTTGCTTCCTGTGCATAGTTAAGTAAGTGCCTGGCTCTTTTCAAAGAACCTGACTTTACTATTTTATGTTTGACATATTCATAGGTGTATTAGACATGTCATTTAGATACATTACATAAATATAAAAATAGAGGGAGTTGCGGTAGGTTAACGACTAGCATAGAAGTAGTTGGATGAAATCTCTGGAGTGCAGCTATTTTAAATCTTTGCTCTTTTAGTCCTTCCGTTCTTTGTCTTTGACAGCCGTTTCTACAAGTTACTTACATTGCTCTTCATGATCAGTACAAAATTGGATTATCTTTAACTGTCATCATTACTCGTTGGTTGTTGATCTTAATGTAAAAATACTTGCATTTTGTGAACTCCTTTTCACTATTCAAGTTATTGCTGGAAAACTATGCCCCTGGAACTGATTGTTAGTACTTGTGTTAGGAAAAATGATCAAATTGTTCAAAGTAAAAGAGAAGCAAAAAGAGGCTAATGAGAATGGCAATGGGAAGGGCCCTTGCAACAAGCAGACCGCTGGGGAACTGCGTCTACACAAAGGTTTTGATATTCTCTTTTTGCTTGATATATTAACTCTTCTATTGTTGTTTCTGCAATATAATTTTGTTTGGAGTGTTTTATTTGAGCATCACACATTGGTTCTGTTGGAAATTAAATCAGCAATCATAGCAACATGTTTTTTGATGCAGTAATCAGTATAGAAATATCTCGAAACTGGGTGATATTAACGTGAATGATGAAAGAACATTAAATTGAATTTGAAAATTTTCTCCTTGGAGAAAAGAACTCCGTAGATTGCTCAATTGGAAAAATAATGAGGATTGTTTTGGTCTATAGATGTCAAACCGCAGGCCTCCACTCAATAAGGCCAGCGGGCTATTCAAGGGTCTTCAAAGTCTGTTTGTTTATCAATAACAAGTAATATTTTATCCTGTGTTTCGGCGAAGGGTGTTCAGTTAATCACCCTTGGCCACACATAGCTTCGCCTTTCTTCCAATTCCAGGAGGATGAAAAATATTTTGTAGATTGAGTGCTGATGGATGTGAAGGAGCAAACTGATGTCAATTACTTTTCTGTATGTGAACGTGTGTGGTCCTGATTTCCAGCATTAACCATTACTCGATTTCCAAGGATGATGTTGATGATCTTGTAGCTTTATGCATTCAAGATGGTTATTATTGAGGTGTACGAGCAGTGTGGCAGGGCCTCTAGCAAATACATGCTGATTCAATTTCACCAGGGATGTAACTAATGTGTTACTAATCACTGTGTCTTTCCAAGAAGAGATGCTTTATATACGTAACACACTATCTTCCGTCCTTTGAAAATATTTTGGTGCCTGTTCTCTTTCGAATAGAAATACATTGAGTGATTGATCAAGAAAAATATGCTGTGTTATGTTGTCCTTTTCCTTCGGAATATTTTTTAACGACGTGGTGCCTTTTTTTTTCTTGTTTTTTCTTTTTTTTTGATTTTTTGTTGGGGGTGGGGGGCTGAATTTGTTTGTGAATGCTCAACTGTGATTGCATTTTTCCACTGTTCTATTCTTTTCATGGTCTTATCATGAGGTTGTTTGATTGGAAATTCCCTCTCAATCTTTGTTATGGTAAAGTACTCTCGCTTGAGACTTACCCCTTCAACTCACTCTTTGCAGACATTACCGAGCTGAACCTGCCCCGTACTTGTACAATATCATTTCCTGGTGGGAAGGATAAGCTGATGAATTTTGAAATTACAATTAAGCCATATGACGGATACTATGCGTAAGTAATTTCTACTGCACAACTGTTTTTTCTCCCTTCTTAATGTAGAATCTAGAACAACTGCATATCGAGCATAATTGTTTCAACAAGGTGCATTCACTTTTCTGCACTTTCAGTTTATATAATTACTGCACAATCATGGTGATTCTCATCTAAACAACAACTTGATTTGGTGTTGCAGTGGTGGAAAATTTCTATTCTCTTTCGAGGTTCCATCAATCTATCCACACGAACCACCAAAAGTAAAGTGCAAGACCAAGGTACAGCTATTTCCCTCTCCGTTATATTCTGGCATACATCAGACACTGAGATTCTGTTTTTCATTAGCTTTCTGTATGAGATGCAGGTATACCATCCTAATATCGATTTGGAGGGTAGTGTCTGCCTCAACGTACTTAGAGAAGATTGGAAACCTGTTCTCAACATCAACACAATTGTTTATGGATTATATCATCTTTTTACGGTATTGTTTTGTTCTCTCCAACATCTTATTTGTTACATGTAAATACACAGTCAACTTATCCCAGGGGCGAGGCCAATGTTCTGGCGGCGGGTTCAGCTAATCCAGTAGCTTTACTTTGGTTCAAACCCTGTATTAGTCTAGAACAATTTATTAATTATTTACAATTTAATAATTTACAACTCAGTGACTTAAAATGCTTAGAATTCCGAATTCTTAAGCTTGAAATCTTAGCTTCGTCTCTGACTTATCCCGTACAACACCTGTGCAGGAACCAAACCCCGAGGATCCTCTTAATACTGATGCTGCTGCTGTGTTGAGAGACAGGCCTGAGTTGTTTAAATCAAATGTGAGAAAGGCTATGTATGGTGGATGTGTGGACAACATAAGCTTCGCGCGATGCGTGTAGCCTACGGGTGTTCATCAGTCTGTACGGTTTTGAAAGATTTGATTTGGTATTTTTGGTTTTCGTTTATAAAAATATTAAATATTATATCAATACCATATCAAGATAAGTTTGGTATGGTTCGTTTTTAACCTTTTTGGTTTCAGTTTGTATGGTCAGATAATTTCGGTATTTTATTTATACTAACATACTATCAACCACTCTTGTAATCGTGATTCGTGAAATTGAATTTTCAGACTCGAGCAAAAAGAAAAAGAAAAAAAAATACTAATTGAGAACAAATTAAACTAAAACGTTAATGGTGTTTCATTCTAAAACAAGATTCTCATTCTTTGCTTGAAAAAATAAGAAAAGTAAAAACATAACGCATAACATATTATTAGAAGCCAAATGTCATGAACTATCAAATTTATATATATATATATATATATATATATATTAAATTTAGGGTAATAAATTTCAGTGACCATATTAATCACATAACAACTAAACAATAGAAACTCAAGTTTAACCTTATTAGTCGATGTTGTAAGCAGTGTTTTAAAAGGCGTGGGCATAAGACGAGGTAAATGCCTCAGTGAGCGTAAGCCTCGGGGCTTATTTAATTTTTAATATTTCATAAAATATTATAATTACAGTAAATATTTTTAAATAGGTAAAATTACATAAAAATTGAAAAAAACTATAAATAAGTGAAAAATATACATAGATGTGCTCCACCCCCGAAAGACTAGTCAAAATAATCCGCTTATTACAAGCACAAGTAACTTGATTTGAAAAGAATAAAGTTGTAACATATACAACTTACAGCTTGTTTGGATGGTCGTTACCTATTATATCATATCGTATTGTTACTTTAAATACGATATTTGTTTTGGTTGTTACTTAAATTTTATTGTATCGTATCGTTAAATCCGTCGTTACGTAACGACGAAATGTGCCACTTTATGTAACGGCCGATTTGGTGTGGGCGCATCGTTATCTTGCTTTTTTCTCTCATCTCACCCTTCACTATTATTAAATTATTTTATTTTATCATTTATCCTACCTTTTTATATAATAAATTTACCCCGTATCATAATTTATCTTTATAATATTACAAATTTATTCTTCATATTGCTAGTGCATGATATCATGAAACAACGGCAAACGATACAATCTATCCAAACACGATACAGTACAATACAATACAATACGATACATTATGAAACGATGTGTAACAACCGTCAATTCTCAAGTTGGGAGTTCTTCTCATTTCCACAAGAAATGGGTTGTTATATTAGCTTAAACAGCATGCCATGAAAAAAGAAGAAAAAAAAAACAGTTGAAAGATGGCATGTCTGAAAAATGCATTGTCTAAGTAGAAGAGAAGCGAGAACAAAATTAACTATCTATCCCGCCTCCATTGCAAAGGGTGAAGGTAAAAAGATGTCACGTTAAAACCCTATTGTTTTGTATAAACAATTTCAACTTTAATATTAGACACTGAACCGATCTTGAAGAGGATACATTTAGTGTGTTGCTTTCTTCTAACTTGAAAAGTGGTAGGTTTTAGGCGTAACATAGACAAACATGCGAAATCCATCCCTCCCCCCTCTAACCAGTCTGACATTACAGAAGCAACTACTTGAGCATTGGCGTGCATTGGTAAGTAAATGCATCCTCTTGTTCCGGCACCAGTACATTTTTGTGTTAGATGAGATTAGTAACCTGCTGCGACCACCATATGACATCTCTGCAAAATTAGACAGGAAAACTGTTAGCAGTGCAGTAGGCTTTCATCTATGTGGTCACAGAGAGAAACTCCAAATCCAAATGAACTGAACTTGCCAGATGGACACAGAGTCCAAGAAGAATGAATTAACAAAGAAATGACAAGTGTGGGATCATCATATCATCTCTGTTTCTTTTGCAGCAGCAAGTCTTGCATTTTCACGGTCCTGCTTGAATGTCCAATACAAAGGGGTGTAAAACAAGCAACATAAACCAAAAGGCACAACCATCATTGAAAATAGGCCTTTCGACAATGCTAAAGCCTCTCTTGTAGATCCTAATAAGGGATCAACTGACTTGGCATCATAACCATACATTTTCTCGGCAAGAATTCCTACAATTGGAGCAGCAAATGAAGAAAATGAACCCTCAAAGGCACGATCAAAAGCATATATCATGGTGCGGTGTTTTGAAGGCACCACTTCTGCAAACATTGGACCATTTGTAGCCGTAGCACACCAGCTGATTGTGAGGCCCATTATGAATAAAGTCACAGCAAATGTGGAGTAGCTGCTTACAGACTGGGGGATAACTCGGAGAATGAACCATGAGAATGGGATGCCCGTGAAAGAACTAAATTGAGCACACATGACACGCCCTGAATGAGGGTATATTCGAGACATTCTGTCTGCAACTACTCCACCGAAAAAGGATCCTAATGCGCATCCAGCAGCAAATAGACCGACAAGTGCTGCTGCACTATTATGATCAAAACCTGCATCATATATATTCATGATGACAGTTGGTGCAGCTAACACCCATAAAAGATTAAGTAAAATGAATATCAGCATAAGAAGAAATTACATACTAAATCCAGAAAACAGGCCACTTACCAATTAATTCAAACCACAATGTAAAAAAAACAAAGGCTGTCCAAGGTAGGGATCCAACTAGACCCTGCAAAACAATGAACTGAAATGTTTGGACTTTGATGACACTTCTCATGGCTGTCCAGGACTCCATCCAAATTGACACTGAATTGATATTTGAACGTCCCTTCTCTATCAATTCTTCCCTAAGGCATGAGAAAGGAAAGCTCAAAAATAACAACAAAGAGTAGAATCTGCTTAACTACAGAATAGGAAATGGAGCAACAACTAACGAACATAAAAGTGGATAAACAAGTAACTACCTATCAGAATGCTTTGAAATATCACGATGGACGCTGCCTTTTTTCCTTGGGTCAACAACAAAAGAGAAAACAAGAACTCCTATCAAAGTACTCAAAGTTGCCATCACGACAAAGGCAAAGCGCCATCCTGGTATGCCCCAGAATTCATGACCAGCCATAATTGTAGCTATAGCTCCGCCTCCTATCCCACCCACAGTACCAATTAGATTAAGAAATCCGAATCCCGTTCCTCTGACTTCATCCGTATAGCTATCAGCTATAAAGGACTGCAGTGCAGGTATCACAATTGCCAGACCGAAACCATTTACTGCTCTCCAGAAAGCAACCTGCAGAAAATACTTACTCGCACCCACTGCACCGGTTGATAAGGCCCAGAAGAGGATACCAATTGCAAGAACCGTGGGACGGTCATAATTTAAAACTAAAATACCTGCCACTGGTGATGCAATTCCCTGCACAAAGTTCCTTATGAATGTGAGATACCCAAGATCAGATGGTCCTGCTGTAAAAGCTTCACTGACTTCTTTGTAAACAGCTGGAAGGAGATTCTCATCAGCGCGCTCCATTATAGCGGCCATGTTGATGATGATTAGGGAAAGGGAAATCCCAAAAATTGTCCTTGTTCTGTAGTGGGCCAACATATTAAAATCTAAAGTAGAAATGCTACAGTAAATATGTATAGGAAGAATCTTCTCTCAAAAATCAAATGGATTGAATAAGATCGCATTACATCTCTTTTGGGACTAAACAGTTTTTCTTATTGGATTATAATCAGCATATACTAGGACCTGAAACAAAGGGGGATCACATTTTCTCTAGCAGGAAATATCTTATGGTAAGATCAAAAGTTTGATCCGAGGAAAAGGTAATTTTCTTGTTGTTTGATAAGGGTAAATTTTATAGAAGCTATGAACATGATCAGTAGAAAGGGTAATACAAATAAAAATACATCTTTCAACAGTCAGAACCTAAATGCTTGAACAAAGCACTCCTGCAGTTGATTGATGTAACATTGTAGAAGACCTATATGACAGGTTCATAAAATAAGGTAAACTGACGCTTAATAAAACATGCAATAGAAATCACTGCCTTCTAACTTGTAAGTGTGAGTTGTAAGCTGCTAGATTTGAGTATTCAATACAATCAGCGTCTTATCTGTATAAGTTGCAGTTTTAGGAGAAAATCACAAAGCATTTGGATCTAATGGACACCGAGAATAACAGGTTCAGGTCATGCTAAGAGCCAAACTTGTTGCACCACTTAGCGTCATGAAATAGGATAGATGTATAGTCCAAGTCTCAGGATGATGAAAACTAAGAGCGATAAACTCAATTAAAATGTGTGGATTACTTGATCAGAAATTTGACATCATTTTCATGAATTATGCCCCACATAGCTTATAAATTCACCCATCTTGTGTCTCATTGCTTATGTGTGTTTACATTGCAGTATCCAAATGACAACACTGCTTAAAAGAATTGTTTCTTCTACAGGTCATGTGGGCATGTTAATCCATCTGAAAGTCTTTCAATCACTAAATTCACTAGAACTACAGTATTCAACGTTTAACACACGGATCACTTTAAGGCCTTACATTAAAAGGTCAAAGAACAAACAATAACAAAAAAGATTGATGCCGTTACTTAGAAATTTACTGTTGAAAGCCCATCTAAACCAGGGTACAGGACAACTAGGTCTAATTGAACGAATGAGTGGCTATCAAGTATCAACATATTCTCTGAAAAGTCGAAATTTTCAGGAGGTCATTGCATTATCATGTGCAGAGATTCAAACAAGCAGAAGATAAGTTGAAGAATTGTCAAACAAAAACCATTCATCCGACCAACTGATGTGAAAACATGTATGAGTAAGTAACATGTCGCGTTTAAAAGCAAATGAATGATTAAGAGGTCCAAATTCACAGTTTTGGATACACAGCAAGAGGATTCAGTTCTCCATCTCGATGTAGTTCGAAATGAGACGACTGAAGCTTTGTATAGCGGCATATTGAAAGTGAATCTCAATCTATGCCATAACTTCCATCAAAGGAGCAGTTGCACTGATTTCCAATTGAAAAAGTATCAAACCCTATAACCCCAAGGATCACACTGCAATATGTTCTGCCCCGATGGAAAGAACTATAGGAGTAGCATGAAAGCTTATAACATTCAACAGAAAGCGGAGAAGTACATGTTTACTAACTAAATGCAGCTGCATGTGTTCCTCAAGGCAAATCACCTTCCATTTAAAACTCAGTTTGTATTTTAATTTTACAAGTTTGTCTATGTAATCAATTGCATCTACTCCAACTCAAATGGAGTCGAGACTTTCCCTTTAGCAGGTCCACTTAAGGAAAAGTTTTTCTTCCTCTTTTGCTGGGGATTTGGCTGATCTTCCCCGTGTCACTTACTCTACTTAACTGCCGTTAAACACAACAAAAGAGAAAAGTGTTTCCACTTGGTAGCAATTAACTTCATCAAATTCAGACTTAATGATCAATTAAAGCTCATTTGTTTTCTATCTGCACCCATACCCTGGGGATCAATATTGATATCTCACTTACAAAACTCTCAACCTATCAACATCCTCTCATCTAAAACTTGCATTTCTTGAGAAAGCTTGTGGACAACATCCAGAATCAACTCTAACACCTACAAAATTAGGAAAACAACAACCTTGATCTAACAACCACTCTAATACTGTAATTGCAGAAAATATCTGAATCCTGCAAACAAAAGCTGACAGAGGAGAAGGTCCTACATGTAAATAAATACTCCCTATGTTTCATTTTATATAACACTTGCCTCACCTGTGGAATACACTGGGTATATTTTTGTTGTTGTTGTTGTGGTGTATTCCATTTTATATAACACTATTCCGTGTTAATTTATATTTAAGAAAAAGATATCTTTCCACACTTTGAAACTCTTTTAACTTTAAACTTAACCTTAATGGTGTGCTTTTATAGTCTTAACAACGCCATGACATGTTTAAAAGCACAAGTTCAAATTAAACTTTTGGTATGTGCAAAAAGCCTTTCTTTTTAGTTTTTACCCTAAACTCAATATCAAACCACTGTTTAAAATAAAACAGATGAAGTGCTGATGTATCAATATCTATAAAGGGCAGCCCGATGCACTAAACTCCCGCTATGCGTGGGTTCAGGGAAGTTTCGGACCACAAGGGTCTATCAACCTCACCCTGCATCTCTGCAAGAGGCCCGTGGCCTCCTGGTCATATGGCAGATGTATCAATATCCATAATGAATCCAAAAACCATTAAGAAACTAATAACCTCCACGAAACTACAATCACATAGTGGAACAAAAAACCAAAACCAAAAAACCAAATGAACAATTAGTCCTATGCCTCAATATCAAACTAGTTCAGACCGTGTATACCAATTTCTAATATCCATTTCATTCCATTTGAAGCCGGTTGAAACAGAAAAACAAACAAGTACAATATAAAGAAACAATAAGAGTGAAATATAACCTCATGGTGTGAAGGTGCCTGGGTAGCAAAGATTTGGGTCGAAAAATAGAAGAATGAAATCTGGAAGCTCTAGCGGTTAAGCCCATCGATCCCAAAGGAAAAGTCAACCTTTAAGGTTAACCAACGACCGGTCTGGGGTTCAACGTGGGGGTTGGCAAACTATTTATTTGCCGCGCAGCTGTCCTTGTTATTATAAAGATCTAATTAAGTAGTAGTACTATATTCAATATTAAAATAAAAAGAAAATTTTCTCATATAGATCTGTGGTAAGATAGTAAGCAATTCTATTTCTCTCGTCATTATCCTTATTTTATAAATTTGGAAATTATGTAAGAAAAAAGGAAGGACGTTTTGGTGGAGAGTTTGGTGATATTTGATTGTAACTGGTAACGGAAAGATTTTGCCAAATCCTTGACAATATACAAAGTCAAGGCCAAACGTGTAATAACTGTTCTCCTGCAGGGGGCTTCTAGTGCTTATTTGATACTATTTGGGATTCTGTACAGCGCTGTAAATTAAATAACATAATTACATATTAATATTAATAATTAATAATAGCTTATGCAATAAAGAGCAAAGATTTCCTTCCCTCTTCCCTGTGAATAACAAAAAAAAAGAAAAATTAAAAAGCAGAAGAGCTAAGATTAAAATAAGTTAAAAGTATATTGAATGCTTTCGTAGGATGAAGTAATAATTATTGCTAGAATAGTAGAATTATTAAAACTGATTCCAGATTGCAAGTTTCTAAAGTACCATATTGAACAGCTGTTCTAATTACACGACCTAATGGCCAAATTCTGGCTCAACTACCTAAAAGCTTTCTCATTGTTCATGAAATTAAAAGAAAAACTACTCTATTGCGTTCTCGCAAAACCCTCGAGAAAAAGAAAAAGACATGCCGAGCTTGGAAATGACTTCTTTTTCAATTGAAGTATCCGAATGAGTACTTTTAGCAAGTTATGTTTGGTCCAATTATTTTTGAAACTGTTTTTGTTAATACATGAGAAATCATTTATGTTTGGCCTATATTTCAACAAAGTAATTTTAAGTATCAAATTATGAAAAGGAATATCTAATTATTTACTTTACAAGTAATGTTATTTAGGGTTTGAACTGTTGGAAAATGTTGCAATGCAGGCTTCTATGTAGCTTTCTAGGAGCCTGTTTGGACCAACTTTTAAGCACTTTTTAATTTTAAGTAGTGTTTGGCAACCAAAAAAAGATTTAAAAAAAGTTAAAATCTGCTTTAGAAAAAGCCAAAACCAACCCAACTTGTGAGCTCGTTTGGATTAGCTGGAAAAAAGTAGCTTTTAAGCAGTAAAAGCAGCTTTTAAGCAGCAAAAGCAACTTTTAAGTGCTGAAACTTGTTTTATAAATAAGCAGTTACCTGTTTGGATAAAAGTGTTGAAGCTTAAAAAAAGCTGTTGAAGTGTTTGGTAAACAAGTGCTGGTAAAAAAAAAATTCTGTTAAAAAGACAAAAATATCCTTAAAACTGTTAACATTATAAAGGATCTGATTACTACAATATATTTGATTCATATAATTAATGCAAATAAAAAATAATTTATATTTTAATTTAATTTCAATTTAAATGATTACTTAAGATAGTTTTTACAAATATAATTCTTGAACGCTCATTTTTAGTTTGTACAAAAGAGGAAAGAAAAATAATTTGTTCCTACTACTCTTTAATTTCAATAAATCAAGTATTACTATTCTTTAATTTCAGTCGTTCTAATTTCAACCACTTAATTATATGCATATTTCAAGAGAACGAAACAAAATAACATTTAAGTTTCAATTAGTTAATGTCAAATTACATATATAGACCTGATAGTCATTGTCACGTGTATGGATGCGCAGTTAACAAGCTCAGCTCATGATGAGTGTATGTAAGGAGGTGATTAATTATCAAAGGCAATACAAAAGAAAGGAATTCAGACTCAATTAGTCTGCTTGATACAGTATAGTTCTGAAACATTATTGCATGATAGCCAAGAACACTATTAATTCTAATGTAATTCAAAAGATATAAGTATGAATTATATGCCCAATACCATGAAATGTAATTTTTTTACTCATAGGTTTATCCTACTAGGAAGTACTATTTTAATTTTCCAAAAAACCACACACTGTTGATACAACAAATTCAAGTATTGGAAAATATGTTCATACAATTACAAGTATCAAGCTTCACAAATTTCATTAGCAATCAAATCGCGAAGACCCATCTAAACAAGATCACTTTGCTCTTCCACATTTTTCACATTTATATTGTTATTAGCTCTCAAAGATGTACCAACATCAGGATCAACAAATGGAACATATTCCTCATTCTCAGCTGCTCGGAATGCATCATCCATATTGTATTTCTTTCTAATATAGTTATGAATGACCATAGTAGCAAGTACGATGTCTCTTTAAGTGTGAATGTGATAGAAAGGCATGTCTCGCAAAACAGACCATCTTGCTTTCCAAACCGCAAATGTGCGCTCTACAATATTTCTACAAGAAGAATGCAAATAGTTAAAATTTTCAATTCGCCCTCTTGGTTCTCGCAATTGCCTTGTTGCACCGCGACGGAATTGTGCTAGGTGATATCTCACATTATCTCCTTTTTATGGAGCCATATATCCCTTCATATGCGGATATCCTGTATCAACTAGATAATACTTATTTCCAATTGGACGTGAAAAGTTGAGTTCTGGTCTACGAAGGGCCTTACCAAATATACGACTATCGTGAGCTGCTCCTTCCCACCCAGCCCATACAAATGTAAAACACATATTAAAATCTATGACAACAAGAATATTTTGAGTCGGATAACCTTTACGTCCAATATATGGTATCTCTTGACCTTGCGGTAACCTTGCTTTAACATGTGTGCCATCAAGTGCTCCAATACAATCCTACACACATTTACAAGTATAAATTTAACATAAGTTAGTAATACTTGTAAAAGTTAAGTTATAAGTTTAATAAAAAAGAATTATGTAAAAATATTTTTTACTCTAAAGAAAGGGAGATATCGACCGTTACATGGCTTATGAGCTCCTGCACCATTATTATAATTTTGATGTGGTCTAATTATATCTCTTGCAAGCTCACAAATAGCCTTTAAAACACTATAAAAGTGTCTATAAATTGTTTCTCCCGAATGTTGAAAGATTTCCTGTATTAATAGATTTCCAGCTCCATGTGCACAAGTCATCAAGAACATGCCTAACATCTTGTGTATAAATATTCCACGTGTGGGTTTATCCCATACTTTCCAGTTAAGTCATTCGATAGATCAACAAACACTGACTTCCTCAATCGAAAATTTTCATAACAACGAGTCTCGTTTCCTCTTAATATCTCTTGAATAAATACATTTCCAGAGCGACTAAACGTATGACAAGGTTCCTTGCATAGGTATTTTTCGTAATACATCAAAATCAATTTACCTGCTATTTGACATAAAGCCGTCCATTCCTTCTCATCTTGCTCCCTCTGTATTTCCTACAGTTCTTCTTCATCTTCATATTGTGAAGAATAACTTGGATAAGGATCTACTATGTCACTAGAGTTCAAACTCTCCATTTTACTGAAAATGAACACATAAAGTTAATATAAGCTTTCTAAACATAACCTTAACTGAAGTTTTCCAAATATAAAGTAAAGGGAAGTTTAACAATAGTAAGTTTAACCGAAGCTTAACAATAGAAGCTCAACAAACAGAAGCTTTAATTCAATAAAAGTTTAATGATACAATCACAACGTCTAAACAAGAAGCAATATATAAAGTTTACACATAAAACCATAATAACATTTACACATACAATCACAATATTAGAACACAGAATACTAGAAATACTCAACCACATTTTTCTTGAGCTATAACTGAGAGTTAAACTCCAACCAAGACTTGCGAGCTTCATCAGTAGGCATCCCCAAAAATATCTGTCGGTTATTTGTCTTGCAGAACATATTCATAGTAAAACTATAAATTTTACTCCCAGCTAGAATATCAGGAATTTATTCCAACGTGCCAATACACTTCTCGATGGATGTCTCATCAACTGCAGGAGATGTAGCAGTACTTTTGCTAGACATAAACTCTATGAAAGAGTGTATATCCTCTTTTATTAGTGTTGCAACTATTTTTTTCTTACTCTTTCTTACTTGACTACTGGTGCTAACACCATCAGTTGATTTTTATCTTTTTAGTGATGGCTCTGGAAACATAACAGAATTTATATTTTGTAGATCATCACTTTCATCGCTCATTTCATCATTAAGATGAATAAAGTGTTCTTTGTCACAATCATCAATAACATTTATTCCTTCTTCATCAAGATTAAGTCCAATGCCGGATGATTGTTCTTGATTTGCTGCACGTGCTCTTTCTCCTATGGCAACAACATCAGCAAAACGTGCATCATAGCAAAACCATATTAGCGAAAAATCTTTGTTCCTAAATTTTTTATATTTTGCATTCTCCTATAAAAAGAGAAAATCAAAACTACTTTAATCAAACTGATAAAATTAACAATGAAAAAAAATAAGAATTACACATATAATAATGTGAGACATGTACCTTAAATTTTCTTTCCCACCAATCATCATCTGCCATAATCGTATTTTTCATGGCATCCCATCCTAAACCTATCTCCCCTCTCATCACTGCTTAAAAAGTGTCTATTCGCCTTTCATGTAATCCCAATGGTTTTTCATTTTTTTTATCATAATGTTTTCCCGTCTTCTTACAGAACTCGTCAACAATACTTTTCCACCCATCTTTATTTAAGTAAGTGTTTGGTCTGTTTCCTTTTCTAACCTCTTGCTCACACAACTCAAGAAATATTATATGTGTATCATCATCCCACTTAGCATTGTAGGGCATAATTGAATGTAAATAATCTGAAGAAAGCAGAGCAACCAAGAAGCTAAAGAAGGCAACAATTGAAACAAATATATTTGGTGAAATACAGATTATTTTGCTACTCTAAGTGACATATATTATCAGTATATTAGTATCAGATTACTATACAAACTTCCAATTTAGCTAGCAGATAAATTAATCAAAAACTTATTAAAGGTATTATGTGCATTTACACATCTGTGAGCAATGCATATCTACAACTTTAGCCATTTCAAACTATCTGAGTTCATCACTCTTTGAGCATTTCCCTGTTAGACATTCATAAAGTCCAAAAACTATTACCTCATAAATTTATCAAATATTAGGACATTAGTAGGCTCAAGTGTGCAAAACTTGAAGTTCAGAAAAATGCCCTCAAATCTTCAAGAACGACATAAAGAGGATAAGTGAAGGAAATCATATAATTCATGCATACAAAGATGGTTTCATGTGTTGGAACACTGCACAGACATGATTTTTTAGATGGCTACGGTAGTTGAATACACTTTCCTCCTCTTTTTAAGAGTTAAATTACTAAACTTTCTTTTATGAAAAATAGGTTGGCTTTAAAGTTGTCAAATTGAAAAAGGGTCCTGAATTTTAAAGGGGTTTCCCGTTAAAATTAATCCAAAACTTTGAAAACACACTAGGAATTGAAATTCAATAGGAAGATTAAACTTACTGGACCGAAGAGGCTTTCAAATTGGAGCTGAAGTTGGGGAGAGTCTGCAACAAGAAGAAGAAAAACGCAGAGTCTGAGGAAGAAGAATGCAGAGTCTGCAACAAGAAGGGAGAAAAGAAGGTTATCGTGTGTTTTAGGGATTTTTTTTACTGAGAGGTAATTTCAAAATTAAGAAAAGTTATAAGGGATAAGAATATAATATACTTGGTCAAAGTAAGGTGGCTTTTAAGTCAATTTCGAAAAGTCATAGCTTGGTGGGGGATTAGGTGTAAACCCCAACCTTTATATATATCACAAAAAAGTCATGGAAAGGGATATACAACAAACTTCCATCATGACAGCCAGAGCTGTGCATTTGGATCGGATATCCGAAATCCGATCTGATCCATTCTATTTCGAATTTTCGGATTTCGAATTTTCGGATTGGATACGGATTATGTTTTATAAAATTTTGAATTTTCGGATTGGATTCGAATTTGCATGATTTTAATCCGATCCGATCCAAAATCCGAAATTATATGGGCCTATATATAAATACTACATTAAAATTTTAGGGTTAAGTAAGCTTATTCATTTATCAGACAACCCCTAGGTTATATCGATGTTCTCTCTCACTCTCACATATTTCCTCTCTTCCGCCTCTATTTACAGTTCAGTCCAGTGAAGACCAAGCTTCCGCCTCTCGTCTTCACTCTTCATTATTTAGTAATTCAGTCCTCTCGAAGTCTCAAGTCAGTGAACTCCAAAGTCCAGTGAAGTAGAAAACTCCTCTCGAAGTCTCAACTCTCAAGTCTCCACAGTTCGATTTCCAATCAAGAGCAAACGACGCAAAACCCTAATTGACAGTAAGCCTGGCATTCTCTCTAACTATTAGTTATTATTGGTTTCATTTTTGCTTTTTCCCTCTCTCTTAGAGCTCAAATGTGATATTTTTCACCTTTTATTTCATGGCAAAAATCAAATAATGTGTGTTTTTTGTGTCTTTTTTTTGTGTGAGTTAGAGAGAGATTACAACATCTTTATTTTGAATTTTCATGTTGTTTTTTTCCAATTTTTGTATGTATGTATGTATCAATTTGGCTTTATGTTCTATTTTTTATGTCTCTTTCATGTTCTATTCTTCTACTTCTGATTTTATTTTGATTTTTTGTTTGTTTTGGTAGATGGAAAACGAGGCAGAGACACATAATGAACTTCAAATTGTTGAAAAAGTTGGTGAAAGTAATGCTTCAACTGATTCCACAACCAACAATAGTGAATTTGAATCTGGTTCGAAGAAACGAAAAATGGTTAAAGAAAGATCAATTGCTTGGCGCTACTTCAACAAGTTCACTGATGCCGAGGGTGTGAAAAAAGCGAAATGCAAGTATTGTTCAGAAGAATATGTAGCTGATACCAAGCATAGCGGCATAAACAATTTGTTATTGCATATGCCCAAATGTCCGACCAATCCCTACAAGGAAGAAGGTAGCCAGACAATATTAGGTTTTCAACCGAAAGATCTAACAGGTGATGTTTCAGTTATCCCTTGGAAATTTGATCAAGAGACATGTAGGAGGGCTTTAGCTCGTATGATTATTAAAGATGAACTTCCCTTTATTTCTGTTGAAAAAGATGGATTTAGAGACTTTGTGAGAACTTTTCAACCTTTATTTCATATTACATCTCATACTACTATGACTAGGGATTGTCTTGAGATGTACCATAAAGAGAAACTTGATTTTAAGTCTATTCTTAAAGAATCAAAACAGAGAATATGTATTACTACTGATACATGGACTTCAATTCAAATAATAAATTATATGTGTGTTATAGCCCATTACATTGATAAGAATTGAAAATTGCATAAAAGGTTATTGAATTTTTGTCCAATTACTAGTCAAAAAGGTCAAGATTTAGCTAGTGGTATCGCTAAGTGTTTACTTGAATGGGGAGTGGATAAAGTATTTACTCTGACGGTTAATAATACGAGTTCTAATGATGTGATGGTTAGAGAGTTATCCAAGCAATTTACTAGATGGAACACTAACTTGATAGAAGGTAAGCATGTTCATGTGAGATGTATGGCTCACATCATCAATCTAGTTGTTCAAGATGGGTAGAGAGAAGGGAGTGTGTCTGTTGAATGAATAAGACAAGCTGTTAGGTACATAAGATAATCTCTCGCAAGATGGAAAAAGTTTAAAGAATGTTGTGATCTTGATAAGATAACTTCTAAAAAATCATTGTGCTTGGATGTTCCTACTAGGTGGAACTCCACATATTTGATATTGAAGGTTGCTACAGCTTATGAGGAAGCCTTTACAAAATATTGTGATATTGATTATGGTTTGATGTCATGTATTCTAACTGCATTTGTGAGGATGGACAACCTGCAGGTCCACTTTTAAGTAGTGATGGGGATAGTGTAAGACGTATTGTGAAGTTTCTAGAAATTTTTTATGAACTCACCTTGAAAGTATCAAGTACACTTTATATTACATCTAATGTGCACTTTCTTGAAATGTGTGTTGTTGATTCTTTTTTGAAAGAGTTAATGCAAAATGAAGATGCATTCTTGAGAGAAATAGCAAAGAATATAAAAGAGAAATTTGACAAGTATTGGGGGGATCCACATAAGATGAATAAAATAATTTTTATCTCATGTGTGCTTGATCCACACCATAAGTTTAATACTCTTTCATTTGCGCTTGGTGCTATGTTTGGAGAAACAGTAGGTTTGAAAATACAAAAGGATGTGATACTTTGTTCAATGTGTATACAATGAAAAATGGTGGTAATGGTTCATGTCCATCTTCTCCATCTTCTCTATCTTCTCCATCTTCTCCATCTTCTTCATCATTGCTCTCAAAATTCATTCTAGATTTAAAGAAGCATAAGAAATGTGACGGATTTGATTCTAAAATGGAGTTAGATAAATATTTGGGTGAAGATGTTGAGGAAGACCATGAAAAGTTTAATATTCTGGGGTGGTGGAAGTTGAACTCACCTAGATTTCCCACTCTTGCTGAGATGGCACGTGATGTGCTAGCCATTTCGATTTCTAGTGTTGCCTTAGGATCAACCTTTAGCACCGACGGACGCATACTTGATCCATTTAGGAGTTCATTGACTCCTCGATTGGTTCAAGCTCTTGTGTGTGTCCAAGATTGGCTTCGGAATGAATCAACAACTCCGGTTAAAATTGAAGAAGATTTAGATAATCTTAAACAACTTGAAGCTGGTAAGCCTATCTTATTACTTGTGTTTAATGTATACTTTATTTGTATGTTTATTTAGATTACTTCTAAACTAATTTCTTGTGTTACTATCTTATTATACATAATTTATTAATATGGGAAGAGAGCCTTGCATCGTCGACATATAGTGATTTTTCATTTGTTGTACAAGCTCAGGTATTTCGTTATACACGTGCTTCTTGCTTTGTTGTATGTTTCTGGAATCTGGATAGCTTGAAGCCTTGAACTGTCTTTTTCTTTCTCTAAAAATGCTCTTTGAATTATTTGAAATTGCAAATGTTTAACTGGTTGTCTCACAGTCCTACTGAGAAACTGAGATTGAGAGCTATATTTGGCCTGGTTGCTGGTTTGTGTTGATTGTTGCGGCTTCCCAAAAGTTGGAACTTGGAACTCTTTTATATTGTGTAATCTGTTAAAGAACTGTTGGGGACTTTAGTTTGTTTTGTTTTATTTTGCTATGACAGTATGGTTTGAAAGACAATTGATTGTGTTTTGTTTAGGGTCTTCATTTTGGTTTGGTTTGAAACTTTGAAAGATAATTGTTGCATTATGTAATATTTCAGATTGTGGTTTTGTTTGGAGATGAATGGTGTTTACTGTCTAGTTGTGTGGGGAACTAGAGATGAATGGAGATGAATTATGTTTTGTTTGCATTCTGAAAATGCTCTTTGGTTCCGTCGTATGTATTTTATGGTTGGTTTTTAAAATTATTGGAGGATTAGCCCTTTCTGATTCTTTTTCTTTTATAATTATACACTAATATTTCCTATATGTGTAAATTGAACATTGTTGACCAACCTTTCTGATTCAAAAGAATGAAACCTATTTTTATTTATTAGTGTTGCCAGCATTTGACATGTCATTCATCTTATTTTTATGCCGTGGAGTATAATTGTTTTTGAATTATTAGTGGTCGTTCTTACTGAAAGATATAATTGCTTAATTTGTATTTGGAAAGTGATTGCTAGCATCTGTTTATGTACTTTGAACAAGTACTCCAATGAGTGACAATCCGATCCGCCAATCCAAAAAATTATCCGATCCAAAGTTTAAAATCCGATCCAATGTTAATTTTGATCGAATTCGGATTACCCTTTTCAGAATTCGAAATCCGAAATCCGAATTCAAAATATGCTAAATCCAATCCGATCCGTGCACAACCCTAATGACAACAAGCTAGGATCGTTAAGTAATCACATCTTTAGACTGTTATCTTTGGAACTGAAATAACGAGTCTAAAGTTTCAAATTTTAGACATTCAGATCTGAAGTTAGACTATGTCAAATCCTAACTTCATACCAAAGTTTGAAGTTAAAATGCAATTAGAATTTAGGAGCTGAACTGGAAAAGAAGAAGCAGCATCATGAGCAATTTGAAGTTTACCAAAATTAACTAAACTTTAAATTAGAGTATGTTTTAAATGAGAAAACATTAGCGTAAGACACATCTTTGGGACCCATCCCAAGTGCATGTACAACTCTTGGGCTCCACGCTCATTCACATTAGTCCAGGGCAATACTCAAAGTTGATTAACTCGACAAATGAGGTTAGAAATTGACATTGTGTGTTTGTTGAAGAAAAACATTCAACTTAAGCCTTATTAGTTAGTTGGAAATTCAACCAACACTGAAGTTCATCAACATAAATTGAATCAACAAGAGATCATATTTTTCTTTTCAAAATACTATTTGATCTAGCCACATAACAAGCTTAAGTCTAGATTACTTTTAATATATATACATGTTTGACCAAAAATTATGAATCTTCGGTTAAACTAATTAAGTAAAAAAATAAGGGGTTAACTCTAGTTAAAGATACTGATTTTAGATCTGAAATCAATTTACGTGGATAACGCAAGATAGTGTTAGAATGGATTTAAAGCAATATGTATTAAATATTGAAGGTTAATAATAGAATGAGAATAACAAGCATTAAATAACAATAAATGGCACGAAATGTAATTAAGGAAAATGATTCACCCAATATTGAATGAGGTAGATGATTCCTCTTTATGACAATTATGTGGGACAAATAACTATGGAAAACTTGGAGACTTTCTCGGATCTGATGTGAAATGTGTAGAATAAACAATGAATCGAATCTCTTTAGAAATGTAATGTTTGTATTTATCTAGAGAGTCAACTTTTCAAGAGTGTTCTTATCAAAATCAATGATACATGCCCTTTACCTTATCTCTCCCTTTCTATTCATATGGGACATGCTCCTATTAGACCTGAAATTACAAGCACAGAGAATATTCAATGCAATTCTTCCAAATATCCTATTATAAAACTAGCCGTTACTGTTGCTTTAAACGTTTGACCTCGACCATAACTGACTGCTCGACAGTAAGTTCTATTATTCATTATTCGACCTTGGCCTAATCACTTCTAATAATATCTCCTCGTGTCGAATTCCCTTAGTCAAAATTTGGCTAATACAGTTAGTCTCTCCGCTTATCGAGGTTAATTTTTGGCGACCTCGATGGGCGGACTTCGGTAGTCACAATTTGAGAGATTTAGGAGGGCAGGTCGAGTAATAATGCTCACGGAAAGGTGATGATGTGGCGCTTTGTGAGCCATAACTGACCGTTACGTCGATTTAGAATGATGTCATAACATCATGCATCATTATTACACATTTTCTCGATACATTACATCATTTTTCGCGCCTCTACCGTTTCAATTTTTTTGTAGTGATGCTTTGTATCCTCGATTAAGGTGCCTGGGTTTCTTATAAATAGGGATGGGAACTCCCTATTTGATTTGTTGCATTTTCAAACATTCGAACCTCCAGGCTTTTCTTTCTTCTTCTCAGTGCCCTTGCATCTGTGTTTTTCCTGCTTTCAGCGATTTCTGCCATTACCACCTCCTTTGTATTTGTAATTCCTTTGCATATATATAAGTAAAAATGGCTAGTGCATCTTCCAACCCTGAGGGGACCTCTAGCCTGGTTCCATTGACAGTGAGCATGCCCCCTCGCGATAATGGGGCTGCCATTGTTGTAGAGGATGGAAGCTTATCCCTCGCAAGGAAAATGCTAGGTCGGTCTTCTCGAAGCGGCCTGAGGACGATCTTGAGCCCATTGAATCTGAAATGGACGTGGCTGCCCTTGTTGAGTTTAGGGCCAAGTTTAGAATCTCGGCCCATATCGACCTTATCCCGGCGGGTCATGATGTAGTACAGGTTCACCGCTCCGAATATTGCACATTCTATGCGTTTCCGTTACTTGTGGGTGTCGCACCTCCTTTTTACCGGCCCCGCGGGGCGCGTGGGGAATTTTCTACAATTGAAGGACAGTCGAAACGGGATTTATTTAATTATTTCAGAGTCGCCACCTGGGTATTTTAAGGCATCCCAAGTCACCAATTTTAATCCCTGAATCGAGGAGAATATGACTCTGTTTATTATTCTGCGAACCAGAAATCCTGAGTAAGGAATTCTGTTAATCCGGAAGAAGGTGTTAGGCATTTCCGAATTCCGTGGTTCTAGCACGGTCGCTTAACTGTTTTTATTATTGGCTTAATTATCTTGATTTTACTAAATAC